TGTGTGTGTGTGTCAGAGAGAGAGAGAGAGAGTGTGTGTGTGTGTGTGTGTGTGTGTGTGTGTGTGAGAGAGAGAGAGAGAGAGAGAGAGAGAGAGTGTGTGTGAGAGAGAGAGAGAGAGAGAGAGTGTGTGTGTGTGTGTGTTTGAGTGCTAGCATGTCAACGGCACTTGGCCATCAGACGCTCTTAGCTGCACATCAGAGAGACAGCCACTCTCCTCCATCTTCACACAGGCCGCTGCCGTAAATATTTTTACTCTCCGTTCCATTAGAGTGTGTGTGAGAGGCTTTTATTGAGGCGCCGAGCACCTCCCCTCTGTAAACACTAGAGCATGATTGGAAGAGGAGAGACCAAACACACGGCACCATACACACACACACTTGACAGAGAGACAGATAGTGAGTGTGTATCATGGTTTGGTGGTCTCGTCACACCTGTCAATCTGTTGTTGTTTTTTGTTTTTTTGTTTCCTCATATTGTTATTTTGTTTTCTAACATGAAGAATATTCCACGTGTGTCTCCACATCAAGAAAACTTTAGTCATCCCAGTGTGTATGTGTGAGTGTGTTTTGTATTTGTGTGTGTGTGTGTGTGTATTTGTTTGTGTGTGTGTGTGTGTGTGTGTGTGTGTGTATTCGTTTGTGTGTGTTGTATATTTGTGTGTGTGAGTGAGTGTGAGTGTGTGTTGTATATGTGTGTGTGTGTGTGTGTTGCCGTACGTCCGCTGCGGTGTCGTCTGCGCTCGTTAGCATCACGTTGGCCTGCAGGAGCTGCTGCAGTAACTGCACCTGGTCTGTGCTCAGAAACAGCTCCAGGCTGGACGTCACGTTAATCTCCAGACTGTGGCCGCACACCACCACTTCCTGCAGACAGAGGCACAGCCATCATTGATTCACTTTACTTTGTGCTTTTTAATTTTTACAGCTTTAACAGACGTACAGCTGATCATCAAATACAGAACACGGACAGAGAGAATTACGGGAGTTATTTAATTGAGATCTGATTGGATGAGCCACGTTTGAAGCTGCCAATAAACAGACACCTGTGACACACAAAGGATATGAAAGCTGCTAACGCTGACCCTAACAACTGTAAACGTTACTGCATGAGTTAAAGATGTGTCTGATTAAAGCGTTTGGTGAAAAGCTCTTTCACTAACGGAACATGTTTAGATCTCCATTCACTATAACCGTCCTGACGCTCTAAACCTGCAGGTCAGATGGCCTCTGGACGGCTTTTCTGTCCAGATTTGTGCAAAGTGAAACCAGTGGCTGTTTGTTTAGTGATTTTCAGTATTTAAGGTCAAGCATGGAGCTGATGTCAAAACCTCACTGAAGCAAACAAACACACGGCATTACTGTGCAAAAACCGAGAAACTGTTCGTCTCGCTTCAGCAGCGGCTTCAGCTTCTCCAGCAGCTGCAACTTCCCAAAACACTCCAGCGTCCCATCCTGAACACACATGCTTTCATCTGACAGAAGACAGAGCATCACTGAAACTTCACACACACACACACACACACACACACACGTGTACCTCGGCTGGGCCGTGATCCGCTGACAGAGGCTTCCGGTAAATTACAGCTGGAGCTGCTGTGATCCGCACAGAGAAATCCGTGATGATCGGAGACAGGATCACTCGCTTCTCCTGCTGCCGGCAGATGCTGCAAACACACACACACACACACACACACACACACACACACACACACACACACAGAGAGAGAGAGAGAGAGTCAATTCAGCTTCAGTCAGAGCTGAAAACATTATCAAACCTTCAGCAATATCTCATAGACAAACACAAAGCCACAGCGGATCATGTCCTACACTGTATAAACTCAAAACATGAATCAACATCATTAATGGTGTTTATCAGAACATCAGAAATATAAACAAATGAAGCTGAAGCAGAACTGAACTGATGCACAGCAGCTCACCGACGCGCCTCTCAATGCAGGAGAACCCAGCGCAGCTGCAGACAACAGAGACGCCACCGGACGCTTAAACACTCACACACACACACACACACACACACACACTCTTACAGTAGAGAATTCCACTCATTCTATACTATAGGAGAAGAAGAATTGTATAAACTTGTTAAACCATCTAAACCAACATGTATGTTAGACCCTATTCCATCTAAGCTCCTAAAAGAGGTGCTTCCAGAAGTCATAGATCCTCTTCTGACTATTATTAGTTCGTCATTGTCATTAGGATATGTCCCCAAAACCTGCAAACTGGCTGTTATTTAAGCCTCTCATTAAAAAAACACAACTTGACCCTAAATAACTAGTTAAAGGGGTCATATGATGCGATTTCAATTGTTCCTTTCTCTTTGGAGTGTTACAAGCTCTTGGTGCATAAAGAAGATCTGTAAAGTTGCAAAGACTAAAGTCTCAAACCCAAGTAATGACTTTATGAACTACTTTACTTCCAAGATCGATACTTTTAGAGATAAAATTGTAACCATGCAGCCGTCAGCTACAGCAACGCATCAGATAGTGTGCTATAGATCCCCTGAGGAACAATTTCCCTCATTCTATACTATAGGAGAAGAAGAATTGTATAAACTTGTTAAACCATCTAAACCAACATGTATGTTAGACCCTATTCCATCTAAGCTCCTAAAAGAGGTGCTTCCAGAAGTCATAGATCCTCTTCTGACTATTATTAGTTCGTCATTGTCATTAGGATATGTCCCCAAAACCTGCAAACTGGCTGTTATTTAAGCCTCTCATTAAAAAAACACAACTTGACCCTAAATAACTAGTTAAAGGGGTCATATGATGCGATTTCAATTGTTCCTTTCTCTTTGGAGTGTTACAAGCTCTTGGTGCATAAAGAAGATCTGTAAAGTTGCAAAGACTAAAGTCTCAAACCCAAAGAGATATTCTTTATAAAAGTTCAGAGTCAGCCACACCTACCTAAAACGGCTCGTTCTAACACGCCCCCACATGTCTACCTCACTATGTGGGAAGATTTGCATAACGCAGCCAAAATGTTCACACAAAGAAAGAAGGCGTAACTTTTATTCTCGCTGTAGTATTGTTGCCGCCGCCACCATGTCCTGAAGACGCTGTGTGCTTTGTTGTGAAAGCGAAACTACTTTGTTTGTTCTTCCAAAAGAGGACGATATCTGCTTCGTCATGCCTGGAGC